TCCGATCTCTCATTCTCACTGTAATAAGAGGAGAGTTTTATAACTCTTTTTATAATACCATAACAAAAACTCAAATGAAATATCTCAAATATGTAAATGTGCGTATATTGGTGTATTTATAGGAGTCTTAAGTCTTGTGTTGTGACTTGTGATCGTGAGAGTGAAGAGGTTTACACATGCTTTTTTCTCGCCTTCTCTCTGTATTTTGAGTCCCTTTTTAACAATTGTTTCGTAAAATAATCACTAAAATTTACTAGGTCGGATAACGATCAAGATTAAAGTTGCTAAAACTGTCTCACTTGTTGTTCCTCTTGTTTTTTTTATTAAATTATTAATCGAACGTACCTAGTCTCGTTACAAAATGACAAGAAGCGACATACACTGCTCCTAAGAGAGGTTTAAAAGCTAAATATGCAGACCATCTCTAATGGTGGCGTTCTTCAGCACAACGGTGATCCCTGATCTTATGTGAAACCCTTCCTCTGGCCTATCTCCTTCTTCCACGCCCTGCCACAACCGAAATCAGACTACGGTTTCTTCGAAAATAAACAATAGGATTTATGAAAACATACCTCTGCATTCGCTATGACCACATTCTTCCCGATTTTGGCGTTCTTGTCAATGATACAGTTCCTGATTTTGGTGTTCTGGCCGACCCCTACCGGAACTTTCCCTTCCGCCAAAAGAGACGCGATTTCAGCTTCTGTTTGGTAGAAATCAGCTCCCATCATCATCGTATCCTGAAGCTCTACTCCAGACTCTATACGTGATCGTATGCCAACGATAGAGTGCTGCACACTGCATTCTCTCAAGAAGCATCCATGTGAAACTATAGAATCAAGTATCTGCAGTTCCAGAATAAATCTTACAACATTAGGATCAATGAATCATCAGCTGAAACAGCGGGATCATTAAACGAATTCAAGATATCGTACCCTGCATTTATCAACTTTGGTAGGTGGCAGGAATCTTGGAGAAGTGAAGAAGGGTGTTTTTGGATCGTAGAATTGGAATTTAGGAGGCTGCCAAAGCAGAAACAAATAGCATGATTAGGTTTCACCGAGTCACACCAAACTGTACTGGAGATGAAACAATAGGGTCGGTGAAAACCTGTTCTGTGAGGGCTAAATTGGCATCAAAGAATGATCCTATGGTTCCAATATCCTCCCAATAGTCATTGAACAAAAATGCCTAGCCATTCCGGTTTTTGTATGTAGCAGCAAGTTAATAAATAAAGGTCAGAGGAAACACAAATATTGATTGATGATGTGATGGGCTAAACAGAAAAAAATAAAAAACAGACCTGAACATTATGCTCCCTTACGGCCAACGGGATAATTTCAGAACCAAAGTCATTGGATGTAGGATAACTTGACCTTAGAAGCTTTAACAAAACCTCTTTTCTAAATACGTAAACACCCATCGATGCAATGTATGGGGACTCCGCAGCTTCTTTCGGTGGTAACCCAAGAATGGAAGTGTCAACTTGCTGAAAACGCAGAAAACATTAAGTTCCCGGAATGTTGCAAGCAAGAATATGAGTTGAGTTTAACTTGCGTACTGAATGTTCTGACAAACAAAAGAAACCATTACCATTGCCTTCAAGTCATCCCCCTTTGGTTTTTCCGAGAATTGAATGATTTTTCCAGACTGGTCAATTTTAAGCAGCCCAAAATCCGAAGCACGGCTGCCAATAAGAGAAAAACTGAATAAGCTCATCAAATAAACTAAGGCAACAAACAATGTTAAATGATCCTCAGACACACCTCTCATCCATGGGAAGACAAGAAACTGTGATATCAGCATTTGACTCAATGTGCTTCTGCAAAGACAGACGAGAAATGAAACAAAGTTCACATGAAGCTCAGTGTGGACAAATAAGAAAATAAATCTAACCTGCACAAAGTTCATGTAATCCATCCGATATAGATGATCCCCAGACAAGATCAAGACATGTTCTACATTCTTTGTCTTGGCATCCTGCATAAACACCACCAAATTATGTTTCCAACAATGTTTATCGCACAGACAAGAATACTTACTATGAGATGAAAGACAAAAGAGAACCTCAAAGACCCATATAAATTGCCTAACGGCATCAGCAGTTCCCTGAAACCATTTTTTTCCTGCATCTCCGGAAGTTTGGGTTGCAGCAAGAACCTAATCATTCCCATAGGAGACACTTAAATAGCAAATAAAAACACAAGAAGATAAATCTAATCTATGGCAGGTAATGCTATCACCTCGACAAACCCATCACCAAAGTTGACTCCATTCCCGAAGTTGTAAGTACAAGAAAGGTGGCGATTGAGAGAGAAGGAGTTGAACTGAGTTAAGATGAAGATCTTTCTAATACCGCTGTTGATGCAATTGCTCATCGGTATATCTATCAGCCTGTAACACCCTCCAATTGGCACCTACAATTATTAACAAGTTGGAAAACCTCACTGACAATGAATCAAAATCATAGAAAACATGAAAACAATGGACAAACAAAACACTCCTCACCGCAGGTTTAGCTCTCTTGCTTGTAAGAGGGAACAGGCGAGTCCCAGCACCGCCACCTAGTATGATAGACGCTACATTCTTTGGGTCTGCATTTTGAGTTCGCAGCAGAGGTTCCTGAAAAATGCGGTCATTATATAAAAACAGAACTTGGAAGAAAAAAAGCTACTCAAGGACTTGAGTTAAGAAATGAAGTTGTAAAACAACTATTCTTATTCAATTCACCAAACCAGAGAAAACTTGACTGATAAGAGACTTGCTTGCCCAACCAAACCCACTAAACTGCTAAACCAACTCACAACAGCTACGATCTGCTACATTCAGTCCTAGGCTAGTTATAGTAGACCTAAAGCTAAAGTTTGAGCAGCTGCACACACCATTATAAGTCTCTAATGCTAGGCAGATTCAAATTTACAAGAAGAACTAATAACCATTCATTATGGCCATGGAAGCATACAGATATTAGACAAAGCAGTCAGAGAATCAAACATATAACCAAAATTCTTGTTTGTTTGTTTGGAATTGCAAGTGTAAACACTCACATGAGAGTCTTGATCAACAAATGGAGTAAGAACGGAGCGAATGAGGTTCGTCTGAATCTTCTTCTGAGGTGCACTCCTAATTTTCTGTGTCGTCAGATTATTGGCCTTGACAACTTGGGTTCCCCAGAAGGCACTAACTCTCTCAGAGACAATTTCGTTGTTGAGACCAAAGGGACTCGTACACTGATTCATGATTGGACAGCAAGCCTTCATATTTTTCAGAACAAGAGACAGATTCTACAACTTTTTTGAACTAGTATCAAAAAAGACACAAGGGGAATGAAGTAGAAGAGGTAGATCAGATTCTAAAAAGATCAGCTTTAGAAGAAAGAAAAACCCAACCCAGATTCGATTTTGGGGAGTGAAAACGAAACAGAGTTGGAGAAGTCGACTAATTTTGTCCACAAGGAAGTTGTCAAGTGGTGAGAAATGAGAGTGAGTGAGGGAGTGAGCTTTAACTTTTCGCAGTGGAAAGAGAAACGGAAATGAGAGAGAGTGAGAGAGAGAGAGATCAACAAAACAGAGTTTAATGTGATGATCCTCGTGATCTTCTGACGGGAACACCGCCAACCCTCAGATTTTTTCTTTTCTTTTTAAAAACAAAACAAAAAAATCTTCAGGTTTGAAAAACGAGCCTGCTTCTTGTCATTAAGCCAAAAACATGGCAAATATCTTTTAGAGTAATTACACTGCATACCCTAAGACTGGAAAATAATTAAGTCAAAGGAGAAATGATAGTTTTGTAAATAAATGGTGTTTTGGTTTAGTGACGAAATGACCAAATTACCCCTACAATCTTCATCCTCTCACGCCTCCTTCTCTGTTACAACGCCAAAACTCTTTCATTCCGTGTCGGTGATGACATGATTAAGACGGTGAACTCTGTTTTCTTTGACCACAACAACAACAATGGAGGAGATATGTTGGAAGTGGAAGAGCTTGAGCCTTGTTTACTAACTCGTCCGAGACAACGAGTCACTCAACCGAGTCGGATCAAGACCCTGATGCTGAATCGTTGGAGATGGTGGTTCTCGTGGAGTTTTTAGATCGGAGCGGTTGTTCTTCGATGCGGGAGTTACGAGTTCGATTTTGGAAGAGATTGGTGATAAATCAAAATCAAAATCGGATTGGGATTTGAAATCGAAGAAGGCGGTTATGGTGGGAGAAGATCGTGGTTGTGGTATTTTTACACCGCCAATTGAAGAAATTAGTGTCGCGGTGGCCATGGAATCGGAGGATTCGTACTGTGATTACCGGCGATCGATGAAGAAGATGGTGATGTGCCATTTTCTCTCTTTTGGAGGGTATTTTCGTCTTAAAGTTTATGGTGTGCCAGTTTCTCTTTCTTCTTTTGCAAACACCCAACTTTCTTCTCTTGTTTCTTAATTACTTTCAAAAAAATTAGTATGCAGCTAATTGACTCTATCTTTTAAGGATTTTTATTGGAATAACCAAATAAATAAGAAAATTCGACTAAATCAAATTCGTGTAAGATATCTTGACTTTAAAACTCTTTTATTAATCAATCTAAATGGCTCACAATACTTTTTAGCATCTACTTTCAATATTGGATACAGTCATTGAGATATTTTGTCAAACTTTTTTGGTGCACAAATTACTCAGAATTTTTATAAATAGGTGACCTAATTAATCCTAACACTAAATTCACCTACATATGAATTCATTCAAATTTCAACCTTAGCATTATCTGAACCGCATAGTCAAACAAAGCTCTAAATCAATCTAATCCTCAATTGAAAAACTACTCACACATAATAATATAAAAACCAATGAATAAGAAAAAAAAAATACTCTCCAATCAAATGATGAATGTAGTCACTACTCATACTCTATTATTTCAAAACCGTACAATGAATGTAGTAATTGAGGGGTATAAAAAAAATCAAAAATACAATGGGTAATGAACACGTGTTGCTGTCAAAAAAAAAAAAAAGAAATGAACACGTGTCAGTTTCGTCCGGCGGTGTACGTCGCCCAACCGTGCATAATATTGGCCCGGTCGTTGCTGTGCAGTGCAGCTTCACCTGCCCTCTCTCTCCTCGCCAACTCTTTCCAACCATTCTTTTTCATTATTATTATCATATACTACTACTTCTTTATTCAAATTGTCCCCAATAATTCTATCAATTGTTTATATAAAGAGTTTATTTTGTATTTTTCAGGAACTGGACTTATTCACCTAATGCTTTTAGTCATGACAATTCCACGACCGAACTATAAAGAAATACGATATATCCCGTTTGTTTCAATTATTGAACCAATTATAGAGTCCTTATATCTCTATATAAAATCGTCAACTAGATAAGTCTAACTATCAAATTAAGTGATCATCCACTTTATTTTAAAACCCTTGATTTCCTCGGAAAATCTAAGCCGGAGTTGCAAGAGATCTTAGAAAATGGATTCGTTTGTTTCAGAGAATGTTGCGGCTGAGAAAGTTGACGCCATGAGGAGGTTCGAGGGGAGGAGAAATTTTTTGAAGTTTCTTCCGGCAGTTGAAGCTCTCGTTGCCGTGTTACTTGTACTATATTGGTTAACGTCAACTTTCTTCGCCGGTGAGTATCTCCGGAGTATTATTTCCAGTGGTTTGACCGGCGCCGGAATATACATATTTGGCGTCGTGAACGTTCTCATCGCCCTGATCTTCTCTTTATCTAACCACCAGAAGCTAACCGAACACGATCTGTATTTTCAATACGTTTCTTCCTCGGCCGCCTCTCCTGCTAACGGTTTGTCCTCTTCCGCCGCATCTACTGTTGGCGGTTTTTCCTCCCCCACCGTAGTATCAAAATCTTTGGCATCTGAAAAGACTTCAGAAGGAATGCAAGGTACGGACTTTACCTCCGTTAGTCTAACCGCCGGAGAGGCTCGACCAATGAAGCGAGAGATGGTCCGGGCGGTAAGTTCTGTGGGGGAGACAGCTCATGCTATAAGGAGGAAGCGTGAAATGACTTTTCTGCGTCCAGCTACTACTGAGAGTACTGCTACTGATCATCATGTTTATAGAAGGTCGAGATCGGAGAGGATTGACGTGCGGGGAGATCTACACCGGAGTATGAGACGGTTGTGTGATATCGATGATCTGAGCAGCGATGAGTTTAGGTCAACGGTGGAGACGTTTATAGCAGGAAAAAAGAAGATGTTGTCCAAGGAATGGGTGAAGCCGTGATTTATTACAATTAGGAAGAACACTATTGTTAGCCTTTACTTTAACGTTCAATTTGGATATAAATGTTTCTTGGTGACAGTCATTTCTCATATTCCTACGAAACTAGAAATGAAAACTTTCGTGTACGTGTTCACTTATCTTGAACACTTCCTGAAATAAAACGTAAGAGTAGGTTTATCGGTGATATCAAGATATCTTAGGGGAAAAAATTATTAAATTTAATGAATTGATCAAACAAATGCTAAGATGTATATCTTATTTAAGATGTTTTTGATGAGTTTAGATATGAGCACGTGTCCTGCTCTGATTAGTTTGAAAAAAGAACAAAACCAAAAAAAAAAACTCCTCGTTTTTTTATTTCTCTCTCGACTTCTCTCTCTTTTCCTCGAAACCAAAATGGCGATATCCTATGAGGCTGTTGATCTGACGAATTGAGAGGAGAAATGAGATGGAATTGCGTGTTTCATCTCACGTAATCAGAGCTTTTCGGTGGCGTCTCTCTATCCCTGCCATTCTCGAAGCTTCCGCCAGAGAAATCGAGCCGACTCGTCTTCATCCGTCGAACTGAGAGGAGAAATGAGTGGGGATTGCGTTTTTTATCCGTCGGTATCATGATCTACATGAGAAAGGGTACGAATCTCTCTAATTTCTCTCTGATTTCATTAGTACATCGTAAATTAGGGTTTTCACAATTGGGAGAGAAATTGGTAGCAAAATTAGTATTCTATGATGTTAGGGTTCTTTAACTGATTGTGATTTGCTTTTCTGTCCAGCCACCTGGAAAAAGAAATGCCTTTGTGCTTCATAAATTTAAGAAATTGGTTAGAAAAGGTTCAGATAAAAACATATTTTAATACTATGACCATATATCGTTTTAGTTGTAATATTATGTCATTGTCTAATTGAAATTTTTACTTTGAAGGATAATTTCAACTCACTGGTCAACGTAGCAACAGAAGTTGAAGTGGAAACCATATCGTCAGTTATGAACGAGAGTCTCTAAGATTTTGCTTTCTTCTCTCCTTTGATACATGTAAGTACTTTGCATTGTTTGGTATATTCTCTTGCATCGTTTATTTCTATGCGGGTATAAGCTTTGTTTAGTGCAGCATACCTCAATTATGGCTATATCATTGAACTTCTGATTTTACATGATTTAGATTTGTGTTTTTCCAAGTGTTTATTTGGTGATCTCTGCTCAAGTAGAATACCTAATCTATCGCACAAATAACATGAGCCAATGCTAATAGTCTTTTTTTCATAAGTTAAGTCTCAGTTTTCTAACGAATGAATCAATGTTTGAATGAACTTGTGTTTGTTTAATTTTGGCAAAACAGAATCAGTTGATTGGTTTGGTCTGTTTGAATGAGTTTTGCTTGAAATAGATAAATGTCTCTGTTTTTGATAAGTGTTCTCTGTTTTCATTGCTTTGATCCTTTCTACTCTTTTTGATGAGGTTTATTGGAGAATTTGCCATGAACAAAGTGATGAGCTTACTGCAGCCAGAGTTGAAGTGCAGGAGAAACAAGTGGAGTTGCAGAGAAATGTGATAACATGAAGCTTTTGGAAGAGAAATGTGTGTAACTTGTATTGTAAGTTAGTGTTTTGCAACAATTTGAATTTTTTATCCTTAAGAACTCTTTGCTTCTTAACCAATGGAGTAAAAATTTGTTAAGATATTGTATAACTTTTCTTAACTTACAAATAGTGAAATTTTTATTTAAAATAAGGTTAAGATCCAAGTTTAAGATCCTAACCGATAATCCTGCTCTAATATATTCCTTTCTAACGCTGAGAGAAAGAACTGAAGATTTGGGCCGGCCTGATGGTGAAGAAAGGTTCATGGGCGGGCCCGACCCAATTGGAAGGTAAATAAACGTTTTTCATGGTGTTGAAATCAAATTTATTCACACAAGAAAAACGGTGTTACTATAAATGCGTCCCTCTTTCAAATGTGTGAAAAAATAATAAAATCAGAAAAAAACAGAGTTTAAGAGATGATGCTAAGCTTGTGATTCGAACCAAAGCCGAAGGCCATCAGCATACTTTGTTTTATCGTGCAAAAGCATAGTAATATTATTACATTGTACTATAATGATATTGTTTAAGATAAAGTTTTCACTTAAATTTGGACAAATTATTTATTTAACAGCATGAACAAATTTGGACCATGCTAGTCCAAAAGGTGGGGAAATGGACACACCAAAGGACAAGCTAGTTCAAAGATTTGCCAAACTCAAACTAGAGATAACGCATGTCCAACTGATCCTCACGTTGAAGGATTTAGGAAAAACGTGCTGTCTGGCCATAAAAGGGAAGATCATCGAGGAGGAACATGTTGCGTGACTTTACCTATGAAAAATACCATCAAATAGAAGAGTGTGTGATACGTACTTACGTAGGATAAAAATCCAGGAACTCCTAAGGGACCACTTAGGAAAGTCATAAACTCACGTCCACTTTATACAAGGTCAGAAGTTTTCAAAGGAGGATGAAATAAAGCAAGTAGTGGTAACTTCAAGGACCATTGGCCGGTCGTCCTAGAGGCTACCCACGATTCCTTTTATACCTAATACGGAAGAACCGGCTACAACGGAGCACCGTTGAAGGTAAATGAAAAGGAAGAATTGGGTGTCGTGTAGCAAGAAGAGGAAGTAGATCAAAGCAAAACGAGGAAGGCCTTGAGGCCACCCCCGAAATTGATTAGGGGAGAGTCACCCTGCACATTCTAGGCCTTTTAAGCTGGACAACCATCAAATTCATCTAATAGTGATTAGCATAGAGTTTTGTGAGGCATGATAGGTGAGCTCAACAAGTTAATGTCTTCTTTAGCAAGAAAACTCCGTTTCTGTGCCAACTATTCTTGACTGGTTTTGAGGCATGCGAAAAGAAATAGGGAAACTTACTCAGATGTTATACAAATTAGGTGAAATGACCAGAAACATACATATCTTTTTTTTATTACTATCATATTTCGGATATATTTTTTATAACCAGCGTGCCCCTGTTAAACGTTACTGGAAAAAACGTAATTACAAAGAATGTCATTTCCACGTCAGCAAAGCTGCGTCGCCACGGCAGAAATCGCTGACGTGTATTAATGAACTCAGCCGCCAAGCAATACAGCGGCAATTACGGCTGATTTAAAGAAAATGGCTGAGTTATGAGCAAATAGCTGACTTTCGAGCATAACCCAGCCTAAGTTACGGCTGAGTTTTCTTCCGATGGTTGATTTGTCAAAATTTTGGCTGAGTTGTTGCTTCGACACGGCTAAATTAACTTTCTCCGGCTGGCTGAATTATCAAAGACGGCTTAGTTATGGGATGTCGTTACGGTGGATTTATGTTCGAGTATCATAAATCAGCCGTTAATGGAAAAGTCGGCCTAATTACGGCTGATTTAGTAGCGAAAGATTAATTACTAGAATAACATGTAATTACGGCCGACTTAATAAACGATACGGCTGAGTTAAAGGTTTTTGGTTGAGTTACGACATCAAACGGGTGAATTTGGCTGCATTTTTTTCGTTTTTTAATTACAGTAATAGTATTCATGTTGCGACTGACTTAAATTTTTGTTTGATGGCTGGTTTAATTAGGCTGATTTACATGTTCGTTTGGTGGCTTATTTGCCACTTCATCAATTAAAAAATGACGTCGGATTCAACATTTCATGTCATCATTCCATGTCATCATCATCAAAGAAAATACGAAACGTCTTTTTCTACTTGTCTTCTTCTTCACTGTGTTGATCTTCACCTGTGTTTTTCACATCACCAGAACTTAAATTTTGAACATCCAATTCGTCATCGTCTTACTCATTCTTCTTCATTTTCGTCCATCCTTCTCTCGATATGATTGATCCGGTTCCGGTAATTGTTGTTTCCGGTAATTGGGTAAAGAAACACAAATATATATTTAACATCGACACAAATATATATGCAGAATGATGCAGAAACAACGCACAAAAACTTTGTGAAGTTGGTGCTTGATGACTACGGATTGAAAGATTTGAGTCATCATTTAAAGCTGAGCTATGTATGTTCTCGAAGTAAACAAGTTGGACATAATGCTAAAACTTGTCCGACGTAGTATTGTTTGCAGGAATTTTATTTTCGGATAATGGCGAACATGACTGTTGGTTTATGTGTTTTATGTCTATTCGTGACAAATCAGCCATAATGTTATCCTAACTCAGCCGCAATGCTCCAATAAATCAGCTGTGGAACACTATAACTTAGCCGTGATATATAAAAAAACTGAAAATAATAATTAATAAAAGAAAAATTAGAAAATAAATTAATTAGCAAACTGAAAATAACAGTTAATACTAGTATTAAATTTTATCATTTAGTACATTGAAGATAAGTCAGTCGTGAAGCATTATAACTCAGCCCTAACATGTAAATTTACGCAACCTTTCGTCTTCTATGAAGCATTATAACCCAGCCGTGACATTTACGCAACTTTTCGTCTTCCGTGAAACATTATAACTCAGCCGAAAGTTATGACGTGGCTTTAATTTTATTTTTTTTAGTGACGTGAATTAAAAAAATAATAAAAAATCTCAATTAAAAAAAACTAATCAAATGTGTTAATTATAATTTACACAAAGACGCTAAACATATGAGTAATTTAAAAAAATGTATAATATTCTATTAATATTCTAACTTTTATATAACATCTGAGTAAATATTTCAAAGAAATATCTAGATCTAGTAGATAACTAAAGTCAGTGACTAAAACAGAAATCATCTTTTAGCGCTAGCTCATAGATTTATCATACATTCTTTCTTTCTTTTTTCTTTTTTTCCTCTTACTACGTACATGTTGAAAATTTTCCAAGAGCTTGTATCATTCATGTGTTTATTTATTTATGAATACATTGGTTAATGATATGGACACATTATATCTACAAAAGAGATTTAACAAAATAATCCAAAGCTATTTGATATTTTATTTAGCCCCCACAGCCCTTCATGTAAGTAGAAACATATCGTCAAGTCTCACTCATTACTAATCATAAATGGATCAAAGCTGGTCTATCCTGTAATACTTCTTTCTAATCAGGACGACC